TCATGTTACCTGGTGCCATGGATCACACTCACTGGATGTCAAAGGTCATTTATTGCTTAAAGATATGGATGTTTCAATCCCACTTTCAACTGACTCCAAAAGAAAAAAGGGGGATACGTGATGTCTGTGTTTTTATTGTATGTGTTTACTTGAGAGCATGGATTACTGCTCCTCTTGCCTCCATTGCCCATATAGTGATTTGTTGCTGTGTAAATCTCCACTTGATTATTCAGCAATCCATACTGCAACATCAAAGGCTGCATCAAACATGCTGGCTAATCACTTGTGGTATTTGTCACCAGCGCTGGTTGGCTTGGCTTTCTTTGACAGTTAAGGCAGTCCTTCAACAAAAAGGCTTATAGTCAGCACCATGCAAAATATGGTAGACCAAGATGAATATCATAGTCTTTCCAGAAGGAAACACTTCAATCTTTCAACACCAAGAATCTAGAAGATTTTGTCATAGTGAAGTCAAGAGCTTTTTTCAAAATAATGGAACTTCCAGACGGATTTCTTGCTGTTTATCCAATGATGTGGGAGGTCTGCAACGACTTCAAGCAGGCTACAGACACAGTTAGAGCTCTAAAGTTGTTAATAACCATGCTGAACGAGGCGTTGCAGTGATCCAGGAGTTTAGTGGACTAATAACTTGTGATAAATCTCAGCTCCAGTTTCTGTTTCAGATTGTTGAAGACGATCATCAAGCATATCCAGACAGCAGGAAACAGACTTTGGCAAGATAGTCAGCATAGGACTAGTTGAAAAGTTCAAAACAATCTTGTTTATTTGACGTTTGTTTGTTTGTTTTATATATATATATATATATATATATATATATATATATATATATATATATATATATATATATATATATATATATATATATATATATATATATATATATATAAAAGGTTAGATGAGAAAAAACAACTTTTTTACTGTACTTAAAGTTTCATGTCGTTTTTGGCACTCATCAGCCATATATTTAAATCAAGAAAAAACAGTTTAAAAGTACAATTAAAAACGGTTACAAAATTAAAAAAACAAACAATGGAATAAGTTCTGACATCAAATGGTAATAATAATAGTAATAATAATAATAATAATAATAATAATCATAATAATAATAACAATAATAATAACAATAATAACAATGACAACAGAAATAATAATAATAGCAATAATAACAATAATATATAATAATAATAATATGTAATAAACATCTTTTCTAATTGCCAGTGTCAAATTGAGAAAGGAGGAATCTGTTTCTATATCTGCACTTAGAAAAGTCTCACTCCTTTTATTTAGTAGATTAGTATTTTTATAATTTAGGATTTCATATTTTTTGGTGAGACATAATTTACATGATTTGGATGTTGGGTTATATGCTTTACATCGCCTGAGAATTTTCCACTTAATTATAGGAACTAAATTGGCTTCTTTTATTTTCCATACCTGCTTTGAGAGCTCAGTATCATTTTCGTATTTAGGGATGTTAAAGGATTTAACGTGATTAGCGAATCTCAATTTAAAACAATCTCTGCCCGTTGTTCAATAAATGTTTAACAAGCAACATTATATATCAAGCAACTATTATTATTTTTATTATTGTTATTTTTATTTGACGTTAGAACTCATTCCATTGTTTTTTTGATAGGTGCCGAAAACAGCATGAAACAGCATGAACCGTTAAAAAGTTTTTTTTTCTTATCTAACCTTTTATTTATTTATTGATCTATTTTGTGATTATTTCACTTTATATTGATCACTCTCAAATCGAAAAAGAGATGAATATTATCAAATAATAAAAACAACAATATATATGTCAAATTTTTGGTTATTGATCCTGAGAATAAGTCATTAATTAAACACGAAAGTAAAAATTTTAATGAAATGGAAAAAATTTAAAATCATATTGTCGATATATTTAAACAAAACGATCTTCTTATATCAATACAGTGCAACATGAAAAATGTAAATTATCTAGACATCACATCAAAAATTTTTACTTCATTGAATTACTAAAATTATCTTATAAATACCTGCTTTTTTGCTTGGAGTTATTTCAGTGTGATTTTTTCAAATTTTTTCAAATCAGAAAAAAATGTTTCACAATAAAAGTTTAATTTTTTAAATATGAAAATAAGAAGAAATGCAAAAAAGTAATGGAAAACTATTAAAGATTAATCAACAGCTATACTTTGCCTTCGGTGCCTGGTAAAGATTGTGCCCATAGGTAAAGTTTTAAAAACAGCTTTAAATTTTAAAAATAAACAAATATAGTTGAAGCTTTTGATTAGATTAAATGTAAAAAATTTAAATCACCCTACAAATTCCTCAGAAAGCGTTAAAGATTTAATAAGTGAAGAAGATGATGAAATACCAAAAAGGGCATATAATAAAATGCCTAAAACTATTAGTGAGCAACTAAATAAAGCCATAGAAAAAGATTTTCTAGCAATACCCAGAAATTCTTTGTCAAGATTAGGCAAAACTCTTACTTCTAAATTTTCAAATAGTTAAGTTAGTTTGAGCTTTCTATTTTCTAAAGACAAAATAAATAACTTAATGTATATCTCAAATCCTGGGAATAGAATTTTTCTGGGTTTTTGCAAACCTTAATCCATGAGCTTTTTTAATCTACATATAAAAAAAACCCCCGCAAAATAGTTAATTGCCTGCATTGTCTGCCATTCACTGCTAGTGCACTTATTTATTCCTACCTAGGCTTATAAATATATATATATATATATATATATATATATATATATATATATATATATATATATATACACACACACACACATAATTTATAGAAACCAATATAAATAAGTAATTAAGTTTTAATATAGAGATAAATGGTGTTTAAAAATATTAATTTTTTGAAATTAAATTTTTCAAAATATTTTCATTATTTAAAAATTATTAATAATAAATTTTTATTTGTTACTTAGTTTTGCTAATTTTTTGTTACTTATAATCTTTGTTTGACTTTCATATATTTTAACTTTCAAGATTTCTCGGTCTCCTCGAATCAGAATACTTGATACACCTGGTATATCAGTTCCTCATATTGAAGATCCTTTTGTCGGAATTAAATTGGCATTAACAGGTTTAGCATTTTTTTAAATAATTTTTCAAGACCATTTAATTTCATAAATAAAAAATTCGTAAAGTTCATTCAATACACAATTATTTAAGAAAAATTTCTTAAACCATCTTTGTATAAAAAACACTAATATGGTTGTAGATTTTGTAAGACACAAGTATTAATAGATAATAATAATTAGATGAAAAAGTGTTTTTTTAAGGAATATTTACATAAAAAGAGCTTTTGTGAAAAGGTGCTTTGTCAACTTGTACGAAAAGTAATTTCTAAAATATCTAGAAAAAATAAAATCAAAACAAATTTTAGTAAATTTGAAAACATTTATTATTAATTTATTATATATAATTAATTCTTTTCAGATATTCTAATAACAAAGCATACATATAATATCTTGATTATAGTTTGGGGATTTATAATTGGGAATCCTAAATGATTTTTGATTGAGAAATGCTAAAACTTTAGGGTCTAAATTGTCTCAAAATATGCCTTGTTTATTCATTTTTATTTGAAAATAAAAATATATGGATTTTTAAATTACGATTATTTAATCAAAAATGGTAGCTGTCATTAATTGTATATTATCAGGGCCTATTCTAGGAATAAATTTTGGGCGGCGGTACCCCCTCGTTCCGGCAAACTTTAGCAGAAAATTGGCATTTTTTTTGCGAGAAAAACAATATTTGCCGTAGAAACTTAAAAAAAAACGTTTTAAAAAAAAAGGTCTTAATTTGGGCAGTGCCCAAATACAGTCGACGATATTCAAAATGGTCTAGAATAGCCCCTGATTATTACTTTATCTATAGTCTACTAAAAAAAGCTAAACTTTTGATTTATTTCTTGATCATATTATGTTTTCAAAAAATAATATCCTTCAAGAATGTTTTTGATATCAATTTTCTATTAAAAGACATTAAAATAACTTTATTGACATTTTTAATAGTATTTTATGGTATTATTTATAAAACTATTATATAGTACTAGCTGATCTGACCTGTAAAAATTCCGGTCTTTGTTAGTCTATTTCACACAGACCTTTTCTATACGTTTTCCTATATATATCCTAGCTTTATGAACCCATAAAGTATGGGTCTTTACTAAATCTACCATTTCTTTACTTATCATTTCTGTAACTATTATTTGTTTACTTTAATATTTTTACGTAAAGTAATTCATTTAAAAAAATTGCTTTAGGAGCAGAAAAATTAACATGCGCACTCTTTCAGCATACCTAGAGATTAAGAGATTTATAATAAGGTTTGTTTTTCTTCTAAACACATTTTGTTGATAGCTCAGTGGTTTAGTGCACTGTCATCAGTGTTGTTTTGGGGGATTAAAGACATCCCCTTATAATTTTAAAATTTTTTGAAAATCTTGCTGTATTTATCCCTTTGAAGACTGTAAGGGTTTTTGTTTGTTTGTTTTTAAGTATAGTTGCAAGCTGCTTTATTTATCCTAAAGCTTGGAGAATGGTCAAATAACATTATTATTTTAAAAAACAAGTTAGTATGAATGTTAAATAAATGAATTTAAAAACATTTTGACCAAATGGTAGTCGGCATGCATAATAATATAGATGGAATAAATATGTCCGTCTGCCCTTAAAGGATTATAGCAAAAATTTTATAATAGTATGTATCTATAATAATTATAGCAATATTTATAGAAAAAATATATTAATATAACAAAAAAGATTTTTAATTGTTTAAGTAAAATTCAAAAGTTTTCTCATTTTTATAAATTTATTATACCCATTTGGTCTAAATACTGCCTACAAACTCATATGCTAAAGACTTACAGATGTTTGTATGCATTGCTATACAAATAGCAGAACTAAGAAGATCTTCGACCATTAAAAACTATAGACTATAAAACGCAGGGATCGTACATAAATTAGGCAATGCTAAATTTATTTTTAAAAAAGAAGGAGATCTTTAATTCTTTTAGGTAGCGATTTTCATTAAATTTGTTGACCTATTTTGACTTTTTATTTAACATACGACTCTACGAGGGAAAATTTTGATCTTCCTTGTTTTGTTCATTAGTGAAATTTAGCGTTGTGTAATTTATGGACAATCCTTTATTTAAAAGTTTAAATTAGGGATCAGCCAAAAATTATAAAAAGCCAAAAAATAATGGAATATAGTACTATTTTGATGGTTATCTAAATTCTGTCGTTGTTGCACACTAGGTTTAAAATGTTTAACAATTGCATGTTAAAATAGCTGTAAAACTCTAAATTTTCTTATTGAATCAATATTTTTTACCAGCTTGCTTTATTTTTAATTTTTGGTATTAAAAATGCAATACAAAATAACTTAACAGTTCTATATATTGTATATTCTATAAATATACATGTTGTATACTCATTTTTCTTGCACAAACTCAACTTAATTGTCAAAAAACTTAAACTTTAAAACTAAAATAACATAAGTATCTCAATCATGACACATACGCAACAAATGTCCCTCCTTTTTTTAATTATTTTAGAATTTTTAGCTTTTTTAAAGATTAAAATATTTGTTTGTTAAAGTGTATAATATTGTTGTGTTTTAAAAAATTAAAAAAAAAAAAAAAAGTTGCAGGTGATTGGACTCCACCACAGCATTTATGTTCACAAGTTCAGCGCGCTAACCACTCAGCCATGCTAGCATTTTGACTATCAAAATTATAAAATTATACAAAAATTTTTTCTAACAAAAATTAATGCTGTAGATCAAAAATTAAGAAGAGCGCACTTGACACAATGCAATTTTCAAGTAAAAGTCAAACTATAAAACTTGATATATGTTTAAGCATGTTTTAACATTACATAATTTGAAGTTTATGTACGTACGATATTTGCATACACTTTTCCGCATTGCCTCGGTTGCAATAACTACCAAGAGTTCTGTGTCAAACATGCTTGAAAGGGCACTACTAACACTACTACTATTAAGTTCAACATTATTATATAGATTATTAGTTTTTCTTATCTATTGTATCTTATGCTAATGTACTGCACATCTTGTTCTCAATTACTGCAGCTTTCACTTATTATTTTTATTAGTATTATTAGTTAATTATATATTACTAGCTGTCATGACCCGTAAAATACAGGTCTTAGTAAATCTATTCCACACTGACCTTTTCTATACTTATTCCTTATTTCAATATATTATAGTGAGAGGTAGAAAAATAATTAAATACATACTCCTAAAAACTATACTCATTGTTTATTTTTTAAAGCTATAAAATAAATTTCTATTATATTTAACCTAGGAGGATATAATTTTTTTCTAATATGATACAAATCAACAAAAACCAGTATTTTAATACAGAACTACCCAGAAAACACTTCTAGAAAAAATGAGACACTTGTTGAAAGTTAGAAAAAAGTTATGAGGCTTTAAAGTAATCTGTTTTTACAATTCTTAAATCGAGGGGGGCCACTGCGCAGTGTTTATGGAGCTATATTTTCTTAACCGTTGCACTTGGAAGTCTGAAATTTCAAATTTAACCTATGTACATAATGTAGATAATGATATGTAAAAATTAGGGAAATCAGAGATGGTGCCCCACAGGCCATTGGTTAAAATATAATGATTTGACCCATATAGATATAAGCTACAAGAAATTTAAAATTTATCATAAAAATGGTTATTAGTTTATTCAGCTAATATGTATCAGTTTATATCTTGCCAAATGAAAATCATTTGATAGTTATACTTATGAAGTTGCGTCTTGGCTGCTATATAAAGATATTGCTTTTTTTTTTTTTTGGTGTCTGTGAAAGTATAAATTCTAGAATTGTGTGAAATTGGCTTAGCAATTTGCTCACCACTGTCAATAAAATATCTAATAAATGTGTATTAAGAAGTAACTTGCCAGAGTTTTTCAGAAGAAGTTTAGAAACTGTATTTGAATAATTGAGTGCTATGAAATTTTTATTGAGACCATCAAATCAAAAACTTGTGCTAAATCATGGTCATACAAATACAATTAAAAAATTAAATATTCATTAGGTATCAGTTCGGCATTTGCACTTACTTTATTTTATGGTATCGACTGAGTTTCAGACAAGGAGCTAACAAATCAATCCACATTTTTCAAATATATAAATTTTGGAAATTGCATTTTAGCAGATAAAGGATTCCTAATTAAAAATGAGCTTGCAGAGAAAGGAGCAAAACTTTACTTAACAACGTTTTAAAAAAGAAAACAACAATTTTGCCTGAAAGAAGTTAAAACTATATTTTACCTACTGCCACTATTCTTATATTTATTTACAATTAGTGGTAGTTTTATTTTATTATATAAACGCCCTTTGAGTTGTGTTAACATCACAGAGCACAACTAATTGATTCATACAGCAAAGAGCTGTTGTTTGCAAGTTTTTACAAGCCTTTTGCATTTTGCAGTGGGTAATTAGGAATCTAAAGGTACATACTATTTGATATTGTAATAAATACCTTTTTCTTATATAATAGTTTTTTTTTTATTGTGTTGTATTACGGTATCTAATAGAAATTTAATACATACACTGTACCATAACCTAAAGAAACTTCAAAAAAAAAGCATTATCACGCTGTACAGTCCACTGAAGATAATTGTTCAGCTCAAATGGGGATCACATAAAAACTTATCAAAGGTAACTATGCAAGCAAACATCTGTAATTGCATCTGAAAAAAATAAAGGATGATTTGATTTTAGACCATCACTGTTAAAAAAAAATTTTTCATCACTTTGCCAGTTAATAAAACCATTTTTATATATAAATAGACACTTTATTTCTAAAATACCTTTTCTGTGACAAGAACAGGTCTACTCCAAAAAAAGACATCAGCCATACTATGAAACCTAGAGTTTATAAAAAAAAGATATTATGCTTCTTTAGATGGACATCATAAAAAATATTTTCGGTGCAGCATTCCATTTTTTCACCATACTGACAATATGTTAAAAAAATGTAATGCTGCGCACAATATTATTGTGTGAATTTGCTATTAAAATCTTTTTTATACTGCATGATTACTTGTATAAGAGATTCATTGAAATCATCTTTATTTGTGTGAATAATATACATTAAAACATATTAAAGCTGTAATTATCTCTGCCTGATAAACTTGGCAAGCTGATTATTGATTTTGCTGATAGTTATTTTACCAAGTTGATCATGTTGTTTTTCAAAATATGTTTGGCTAAAGTCTTCATATAGTTAGGTATGTTTAAAAAGTCTCTGGTTATCTCATCATCTTAATCAGGCTCAGTTACTGAGTCAGATTCAAAAGTTAAGGTAAGTTGTTAACCAGAGACTTTTTTATCCTACTTGCAATAATTTAACTGAATCCTGACTTTTAAAACATTAAATACTATGTTTTAAGTAAATAGAAACTATTCTTATGTTGACCTATCATATTGCATATCAATCAGCGACTTTAATAATTTACGTCAATTCAATCCTAAAGCTGTTATATTGTAACATCAATCATAATTGAAGTGATAGTGAGGCTCAGTTTAATATGCTGTCTAATTGCAATATTAAATAGTTTAAATAGGTCAATATAAAAATAGTTTTTATTTACTTAAAACATAGTTGATGGTCGTAGGTTTTTAATTTTTTTTTTAAAACAAAATTATTATATAAACTTTATTTAATAATCTTGTTCTAAAAAACACGTCTCTTGTCAGGCAACTTTTTAATGTTTTTCTGCCAAACACTTTCATTAAAATTTTCCGGATTTAATTTTTCAACCATGTATGTAATATTCATTTTTTATAAACGATAAAAATGATTTTAATATTTTAAATGCTGTTTTTATCAAGTAAAAGTAACAAATGATACAAGTTAAAAAAGCTCTTTTAAAATTGATTAGCCTGCCAGTATGTGCACGCATATTGTTTACATTTTGCTTGTACATCACATGAAATTGGTCTGTAAATTTATTAATTTTAACTTGTTTAGCCAACATTTATTAATTATTAGTTATTGATTTTTCAAAAATTTGCAGCGTGTTTATGGAATACATCAGGTAAACACTGTTTTTAAAGAATATATTGGATGAATCACAGCTTATGCCGTGTAGAAAACCTTTGGTGTACACTAATAGCTAGATCCTGAATTATGCTTTGGCACAAATATTTACCTGTTCAAATCTGATGCTAAAATAAAATAAAGTATTTGTCTAACACATTTTTCTAATGATATTGTTTAAACTAACAAATATATTTATCTGATAAAAAAAAGTATGAATGATACTTTAAAGTATGAAGCAAGCTGAGTGCTGTACTCAAACTTGAAACTTCTTGTTTACAAGGCAACCTCTCTAGCACTACACAACTACCGGATGTAATTTTAATATAAATAAGTTCATTATTTAAAGTATATTTGTAGAAATAACTTCAACCTAAAAGTAATGTTTATTTTTTGAGCAAAAAAATCAGTCTATCTATGATATATATATATATATATATATATATATATATATATATATATATATATATATATATATATATGTATGTATATTTATACAGTATGACATCGCAAATGGTGGACGCTTTTTTCAAACCATTGAAAATATCTTTTTAAAAAGTAAAAAAGAAAAGAAAACATTTATAAATTAAAATAAAAATGAAATCAACAAAAAAGAAGAATAAATAAATCGTTTAAAAGAAGAAAAGAAAAAGAAATATTTGAAAGAAACTAAGTGAAAAAGTAACGAAAGTAGAAGTTAAAAAAAAAGCGTTAATAAATGAAATATATAAAAACAATGGCAAAGAATGAAAAAAAAAAACCATTTAAAGAGCGGAACCTCGATCAGCAAATAAAGATTTTTATTTATTTTTTCATACATTTCTTAGTATTATTTATTTATTTTTCTTCAATTTTTTAGCGTATTTAGTTTTACTTATTA